CCTTAGTTAAAAACAAAACACAACAAAACAAAACAAAAAACCCACCATCTGGTTTATAATCAAAGAGGCTATGTATGTGTGGGCGCAGGGAGCTTAGGAAATCTCTGAACCTCCCTCTCCGTTGTTTTATAAACCTAAAACTACTCTAAAAATTGTTTTTAAAGTTTTTAAACAATAAACAAATACATCAACCGACAAAGGACATTTATATTACTCCCTTGATGAACATCTATTATATGGGGAACCAATACGTTCCATCTTGAACTGTTTGGCTCTAATCTATCGTCACGGAGTCCTAGGATGCTGTTCTGAAGAAGCTTCTGAGTGGGATAAGAGGAACAACACTATCACGAGTACCAGACGGAAGAGTGAAGGCACATTTGCCAAAGATGTGCCCTTTTTGTCCACTAACACTCCTGGCACTGTGCTAAGGGTATTGTCCCTTCTCAGGAGAATCTCAGGGTGTAGTGGGAGATAAGGGCAAAGAAACAGGAAAAGTCTGATAGACTGTGACAAATACAGGAATAGAGCCAGTTTGGGATTGTGGGCAGGTCCAGAGAAGGGAGATAAGTGTTCTGGAAGGAAAAATTAGTAACTCAACTTCTTAGTTATAATAATAATAACAGTGTACATACATTGCATGCTTACAATTTGCCCACTATTGTCCTAAGCACTTACATGTTTTAATTCATTGAATTCTCTCAAAAACGAGTGAGATGACTGTTATTATTATCCCCATTTCACAAACGAGACAACTGAGCTCTGGATAATATAAGTAATTTGCCCCAAATCAATATGTGATAAGTGGGAAAGTAGGGTGCAAACCCCATATGGTCCAGAACCATAGTTGTTAATCATTAAAATAGGTAAAAAAAAAATGCTCTTTCTGCCCAAGATATGTTTCCTACAGAGATAAGTAAAATTGCTTCAAGAATATTATTTTCCTGGGTAAGAAACAAGTAATTTGGAACTAGAGTGATTAAAGTGTAACCCACGTAACACTGTCAGTGAAACTTCAAAAACATGGATCAATTCCATTTACCTACTTTATTTACTGGTGATTTCTTCAAAGAATTCCCTTTTGCTTTTGTTTTTGTTTTCGTTTTCAGAAAGGTTGATACAAACATATAAAGAGTCAAATACAAATTTTGATAGCTGACAAGTTGGAATTGAGTTAACCTCACTAGAAAATTTAGGGCAGGATTACAGGACAAAATATTATAGGGATGAACAAGTACCAATATCTTGCTTGCCCTTCTCACTCTTTCTGCTAGTTAGCATTCCTTATGTCTGTCTAATGAGATAAAAAACTGTAAATGAAACACAACATGACCCTTGCTTTCATGGAACTTTAACTGGAACAAGGTGACGGTTTTAAGAGTTGTACTCATGAAAAAGAGTCTAACTGGGCCTTAAAATCAAGTTCTATTCAGGATTTTAAGAAGCCATTAGCCAGTATTTCTGTCACCCAAAGACATGTAAAGGCCTTCTGATAAAGGTGGGATGGTGGAATGGTGGAAAGACTAACATGCAGGGATCAGAAACAGATCTAATATTAATAAACTTGCAAGATTACTAATAGCACATATATTAACTACTTGGCTTTGGACATTTTATACATTCTTTTAAAAATATATTATTTATTCACCACCCAGATTTGACAGGAGTTATTAACATTTGGCCATACTTGCCTTGGATCCTTTTTCTTCTTTTTTTTTTCCCTCCTTCTTTTCTCAATCTCTCTCTCTCTCTCTCTGTCTCTCTCTCTTAAGAAATAAGCATCACATAATCATTATTCTCTCTTACTCTGTATGAAATCAGGACTCTTAACTGGAAACGCCCTTAAAATTCAGACATCCAAACCCCGACCCTTATCGTGATAACAGCTACAAAGAACCTTATCCAAATATCAATTCCTTTCATCTGTGCAAGTCCTGCAGAGGGAAGTGGGTGACCCAGGTAGGCCCATTGTACAGATTAGGTAACAGAGACGAAGAGAGGCTGGGACTAGCTGAAGCTAGTAAGTGACACACGTGTGATTTGAATTCAGCTCTGCATGCCTTCAAAGTCCTTGTTCCTTGCATATGTCTACAGTACACATGAAGAATAACGATATCCATCAGACTTAGCTTCTGCCAAATCTAGGTCCTGTTCCTTCCACAGTTATTCAGCATTTATTATCTGCCAGGCACCGTGCAGCCAGTGTCAGTGCCAAGATAAGTAGATTCTATTATTTGATTATTCATCACACCAAAACCCATTGCTGGAGAGAATCCTACTGAGGTTTCCAGGTAGTAGCCCCCAAACACTTGGCGACTGGGGTACTCAATGGCTTCTTCAGTCTCCTGCCCCATTTGCCTTGTTACCAGAGTAAGTCTTAGTGACAGGCATATCTTGGACATTCAGTGTTTATAAGACTTATCTCTGATTTCTCATTTCCCATTTCGTTATGGTGACAGAATGTTGGCAGAGTCATTCATTCTACAAATACTTACTTAACACCTCATTTTTCTAGCCACTGTTTTAAGCTTTGTGGAAGGAATATTTTAAAAAGTCATTTTGTTTGTATTTTAGTGGAGTACGGTAGGCAGTAGACAAACAATCAAGTATATGAAATGTCTGGTGTTGAGGAGTGTTAAGGAGTAGAAGCAGGGAGCGTACAAATTGGGTAGTTAATAAAGGCTTCTCTGATTAGGTTAACATACCAGCAAGGAACCAGAATGAAATGAGGGCAATAGACATGTTTATATCCACAGGGAAAGAATTTCTAGCACGAGATGTAGCAAGTGCAATGTCCCTGAGTCAGGAGAAGGCTTGCCATGTTCAAAGCCAATGAGGCAGGCTGAGTGGTAAGAGTGAAGGCCATAGAGGATTAGGGGCTGGATGAGAGAAGATTTTAGATTTTAGTTAGGGATAAATAAGAAGTCGATTGCATTTGTAACATGACATGATTTACAAAATGTAGGTGGTAGGAACAATTCAGGTGGCCACTTGGGAATTCAGTGGGAGAAAACATCAGATTCTAAGTGACAGACCCATCTTTTTGAGTAGTGTGTCTGTCCAGTAGAGCTTCTGTTTCAAGCCAGAAATTGCCATGTATGGTACACAGAGTGTTAAAGCAGGTCAAGGGGCCACCTACACTGGAATCGCTCAAAGAGCTTCGTAAGCCTGAAGATTTCATGAGACCCACCCAAGATATGATGAACCAAAATTTCTGTGGAACTAAAGAATCTGCATTCCAAACAAGGTGCCCTGGTGATTTATGAGTATAAGAATTTTGCACAACTACTGGAGTCAGGGAAAGCTGAGTAACGAAGAGAATTACCAAACTGAGTTTCAAAGACAGGAAAGAGTCAACCTGCGGGAGAGAACAGGAAGGTAATTATGGTGAGGATCCCTCTGAGAGAGGAACCATCATGGACAAATCCCTAGGGGTGTAAAACATCGTCTGATAATTGGATTCCTGCATTCTATTTGATGCAACTGGAGCAATCTTATTTTTTTTTTGAACTTTTACCCTACATCAGGCATATATGTGGTCTCATTTTAACACCCCAATCACCATGAAGGGAGCTCTAAGAGAAGTGAGGGCCAGAGAACCTAAGTGGCCCATCCAAGACTACTTGGCTACTAAATGGTAAAGGCATAATTGAATAAAATGCGGTTTAACTCTAAAGCATGTAATCTTAATCGTTACACTGAGGAAAGTCAAATATTCAATTTGGAGAGATAGGAGAACAGATCAGGAGAGGCTGAATGCTTTCCTATAGGAAGGCAATATTTGAGACAATATTCTAGCTTGCTACTTTACAAACATCATTTCACTTGTCTTCATGACAACACTTTAATTTGTGGTGTTTTGCTATGCTTTACAGGAGAGGAAACTGAGGCATCAGGTAACATGAGTTACTTTACCAAGGCCACTCATTTTTCAACTGGTGAGATAGAGATGTCAACTAAATCCCTGTGATTCTAAAACTTGTGTTCTCACCACCTCTCTATGGCCCACGGTGTTCTCCACACATGCTCAAGTGTACATAGAAAACATATGCCAAAGACAAGTGTATTTTCCTTGCATGCACAGAAAACACTTGTCTTGCATTTCCTGTACATGCAGCATATAAAAGCATTTAAAGCTATTAAAACAATAGTGCAACTGACAATACCAAGCACTGGCAACAACACACAGCACTTGAATTCTCATATGCTACTGATGGATGTACGTCTTGGAAAACTGCTAAGCAGTATCTACGAAAAGCTAAACAACCAAAAAGAAAATTCCCATTCTACAATCCAGAAATTCTGATTCCTAGGTTTACACCCAACAGGAACGAGTGTCCCTTGCACAAAAACATATGCGAGAGTGTTCAGAGCAGCTTTATTCAAAATGGTCGATCACTGGGAACACCCTCAATGTCCCCCAACAATAAAATGGGTAAAGAAATGGTGGTATAGTCCTGCAATGAAAATACTACCTAGCAATAAAAAGAATGAACTACTGGTACGTGTAACAACATGGATGAATCTTACAGATATGATATTTGACAAATGAAGTTAAATAGAAAAGAATTTACATTATATGGTCCCATTCATATGAAGAAAAGGCAAAAGTAATCTATAGTGATAGAAGACAGAATAGTACTGTGGTTACTCTTAGGGCAAAGGTGTTGACTGGGAGTGGGGTGACAGGAGCTGTCTAAGGTGCTGAACATATTCTATACTTTGATGGGTAGTGGTTACATGGGCATACACAAAAAATTAAATCAATCTGTATGCTTAAGATTTGTGAAACTTATTACACATAAGTAATATCTCAATAAATTTTAATTTAAAACATGGAGGAGCCAATAAAATCCGGCCAGCAGGCTATCAATCATCAACTTCTTATTAAAAATGGGTTCCATCTTAATCAGATCTGTCTTATCCTTTCATCCCCTATACATGGCACATAGTGGAACTCAACAGGAATTTACATAACAAATGAACACAGGTCTGTGACCATGCCCAAACTCCTACACATCTTCAAGTGCATCCATCCTGGTTCCTCAGATGAAGCAAAGACCATGGTGGCAGCAGACCCTGCAGCACAGGAGGTGATAAAACCATCCCCATACCTGGCCATACTTTCATCAGAAGAAATAAACTATAAAACCAAGCAGCAGTTTTTCAGTATGACACAGCAGTATTGCTTGCATTAGGCCAATTTTCCACTTATGACAGCAGTAATAGCACTAAAAGCCAATAAAAGCGGTCTGTTCGTTCAGAGATCGGCTTTTATGGCTTATTCTAAATATTATCAAGTGAATCAAGAGCCGTCATTATAGTGTCTAAAAAGCCTTCATACCTTGTAAGCAAACAGTGTGACTTTGACAAATAATCATTAGTGTGCCTGTGTGAGGCCAGTGCAGGGGGAAAAATCAAATAACTGATATTTCCGTTTACATAAGTCATTAAGGTAATGTTGGTTAGTTTCAGAATAAACAAAATGGACTTCATATGTAAAATGATGTACCATTGCTTTCAACAGTCCCAGCATTTTTTAAAGTCTTATTTCTAGGCAGCTAAGGCTATGAGTGACTTTACTTATTCAAGGCTTCTTGGTCCTTATGCGCATATAAGGAAAGCTCAGTAAAACTGCTGAGGGCTCAATCACACAGGCTCAACCAATATTTCTCATTTAAAGTAAATCTCAATAATTCTGATCCCACTAATTTCAGATTTTGTGATTATCCATGCATGTCATGCTAAAAATGGCCTGTGTTGTATGGAGTTCCTTAAGAAAAAATAAATAAATCCGGTGAAGACCAAGACATGTTTGCCTTGTTAATGTGAGGATTTTTCCTGGGTTACAGTTGAGAACGTAAACTTTCTGGAGGGTAACTTGCCAAAATTAAAACTGACTAGATCAGTGGTTGGCAAGCTGTTTTCTGTAATGGGCCAGCTGGTAAATATTTTCAGCTGTAGGGGCGCCTAGGTGGCTCAGTCGCTTAAGCGTCCGACTACGGCTCAGGTCACGATCTCACTGTCGGTGGGTTCGAGCCCCACGTCGGGCTCTGTGCTGACAGCTCAGAGCCTGGAGCCTGTTTCAGATCCTGTGTCTCCGTCTCTCTCTGCCCCACCCCACCCTCCCCCCCACTCACGCTCTGTCTCCCTCTGTCTCAAAAATAAATAAACATTAAAAAAAAAAAAGTATTTTCAGCTGGGTAGGGCATACAGTCTCTGTAGCAACTATCCAACTCCACCGTTGTAATGTGACAGCACAGACAGTACATAAATTTTTAAGTGGGGCTGTGTTCCAATAAAACTTCATTAATTAAAAAAAAAAGTTTAGGTTATGTTTGACCCATGATCTATAGTTTACCAAACTCAGCATTAGACTCTAAGATCCATGCAATGTACTATACCTGCTTGACTCACCATGGTGTTCCCATGTAGGTGTCCAGGAAAGGGAACGGGTTAGATATTTGGTAAACATTTACTATGTAAATGTTGAATGAATCATGAGCCTTAAAATTCTATATAATTCATTGGTGAGCCACGTCTAGGTGCTACGCCAAGAAAATAATCAGGTGAATACAAATTTTGCTATAAGTACTTGTCACGGTATTTGTTTGAAATAGCAAGACAGGAGAAGTAATGATAATGTCCAACAATGGGGGACAGGATGAAGGAATATTTATATTAATCAGATAATATATTAACCACTTATTAAAAATGACATGTAATATTGGAAGAAGAATATTTAACACCACTAAAATATCTTCAAATACATGAAGTAAAAATTGTATTACAATAAAAAACTTTATTCCATTGAATAAATATTTATTGAACACCTACTCTATACTAAACACTATTCTAGACACTGAAATTCAGCGGTAGTAAAACTGGCAAAAATCCTGTCCACATACAGCCTGTATCATACTACCTTAAATAAGTATGATTATCCTGTTTTTCTTAAAAAGATCAAGGGCAAGTACGTATATACGTTGTCATAAAGTTTGAAATGTTCTTCATCAGAATATTTTTCACAATTAATTGTGGGAGAATAAAATCATGGGTAATTTTATCTCCATACTTTGCCTGAAAATATTAATCAAAACTGATTAGGTAACAAAGTGCATCAATTATAAATAATCTGCTTTTAGGTAATTATTGCCTAATTAAACACTCATAGGATACGATATGGATTTTAGAATCTCTTAGCAAAAAAGTCCTTATTTCATATGTAATTTATTTTTATTTACCAGGTCCTTATATAGCACTTATTACACACATACACGTGTGTGCGTGTGTGCACATGCGCGCACACACACACACACAACACTACTCTAAGTACTTCACAAACATATACTTCTTTAACCCTTGCATTAACCCTATGAGGTAAGTATTATTATTATTATCCCTGATTTATGGATGGGGAGACTGAGGCATGAGAGGCTGGGTAACTTGCCTAAGATCACAAAACTAATGAATGGCAAAGCCGGGGTTTAAACCCAAACTATACGGTTCCAGGGCAATCATCACGAACTATTTGGACACACAATATACACAGCAGATAATAATTTGTCAATATCAGCTTCTCTGTAAGTTAAAATTTCTAACATTTTATAATTATAAGATCAGCAAGAACCATGAGGTGATGTCTCTGACAACCAGGGGAATTTTTGTTTGGAAGTGAGAAATGACAGCTACAGACTTCTTTCACCCAGAAAAGGCAGCTTATTTCTGCAGCGTGCTTTAGAAGACAAAACATTGAGAATCTTTGTTCTCACAGAAAAGTAGTTTCACGTGGCAAGAGATTTTCTTCTCCCTTTTTATATAACTCATTTTATAAACCTGGTAAAAATCTTTACTGGAACTAACCTAGAGTTTAGAGAAGGAGTAATGAGATATTTGGATTTTAAAGTTAAATCACTAGCAATATCTAGTAATTTTTATAACATTCCCTAGTGCATCCTCAATTTACAGGCTCCTGAGTTTGTCAGTCAGTTTAACATTAATTATCTGCCGAAAATACTTTTCAAGCATATCTTCTAACTCCAAGTTGATGAACAATGTCATGAAAAAATTATATATCAGTGCTCATTTCTGTCAGATATTTACTCTATATTTCAAAAGAGTTAAGTTTATTTTATTGAATATGGTGACTCTAAACCTTGTTTCATTTTATCAATCATAATTTATCTGCAATCGGAAACACCAAATGTTATAATCTGAACTGCCTAATCAAACTCCCTGAGACTAAAAAAAAAATCTGTTCTCTCCAAACACATTGCATGTGCGTGCAAGCACACACACACATAACACACACACACACACACACACACACAGCCATTTTTCCACTGTATTTACAATATTTATTATAATCTCTTTTTTTCTGAAAGGCCAATTAATTTTTGTATCAAAAACAAATTCTAGACCTCACTGTACACTTCACTACTGAATAACTCTGAAAAAAAAACACTGTCCTTTAAAAACTATGACCAATTAGCAATGCTTGCCATTGACACACTCCATCGAGAACGGCAGAGTATATGTGCCACATAGGTCTATGCCTTGCGTATTCCCCCCTCTGACATTATCAAAAAGCTCCCATAAACCAAAAATAAGACCCTGCACTTCTTTTTTTAAAGTATCTTTATAACTCAGACTTTACACAAGTATTGACTTTTTCCCAATTAGATGACACTATTGTATTATCTGGAGTTTACTGTTTCACGGAGGATTTTTCTGGAGCATCTCCTGGGTGATGGCAATCATCCTAAAATACTCCTGGAGAGAAACAATTCTGTGATCTCATCCTGAAGCTTTTAAGACTTCCCTTTGGATTAAAGGTCTTAGCATCTCATTTTTAAGAAGAAAAAAGAGGTGATAAGTACTATATAAACACATATTTTCTTTAGAGTAATCTTCAGAGAAATTGTTGAGTCAAGAAAGTTTTAATGAACTAGCTGGGCTTAGCACACTTGTTATTCTACCTCTGGGACCAGCATTCACATCTGCATGAAACCTCATGCAAACCTTTCATGTCTCACTGATCACTGGGGTAAATCTTAGATTTGGCAGTCCTCGGGATCTTATTCATCTTAAGACAGCCTTTCTCAGGCAAAACTCAGGCGTCTGGCTGGACTTGCTTTGGCAATAGGTAGGCAGGAGTGTGAGAAGATTATTTGGAGGTAAAACAAGGAGGGGGGATACAATTTGACCTGGACCGTAGGGGCAGGAGTCAGAAAGGCACATGCCTATGAAGGGCTGTTCAGAGAGGTTGCACAGATGTTGCTTGCTAGCTGTCTGTACTGGAGTGATCTCTGATCTCTTTTCCATTTCTGTTCCTCCCCAAAGTCTTAGGGAAGGAAAATTCTAACTCAGTGACTCAGGAAATATTCATTTATGCTTGTCGATGAGAATTTAGAGGAAAACATGGAAGAATTTACTTAGAGTAAGGATAAGAGGGTTTCTGCATTCCAGCAACGCTACAGATTCTGTCTAAACTCACAATTCTAAATTTGCTGAGCACTTTTTTTATGAAGTGAAACATGCTCTTACCATACGACGCAGCAAGTTCACCCCTAGGTATCTACCCAAGAGAAATGAAGACCTATGTCCTCAGAAAGACCTGCACATGAACGTCCATAGTAGCTTCCTTCATACAGAAAATATCTAAATTTTCATCACAGGAGATGAGATAAACCAACGGTGGTTAATTCGTATAATGGACTATGCCTCAGCATTACAAACACATGAGTTCAGTAATACGGATGAATCTCAGAAACATTCTGCTGAGTGAAATAAAACAGATACAAAAGGGTACACACTGTATGACTCTACTTCTATGGAATTTGAGAAAAGGCAAATTTAATCTATAGTGACAGAAAGCAGATTACTGGTTTCCTGGGGCTTGTTGGTGGGGGGCATGGTGACTGTAAAGGGGCAGGAGGAAGCTTTCTGGGGAGATGGGAATCTTCTGCACCTTGATCATACTGGTGTTTTCATTTGCCAAAACTCCGCCCTGTATTTAGAATAGGTACAGTGTTTATGGGGCGCCTGGGTGGCGCAGTTGGTTAAGCGTCCGACTTCAGCCAGGTCACGATCTCGCGGTCCGTGAGTTCGAGCCCCGCGTCGGGCTCTGGGCTGATGGCTCGGAGCCTGGAGCCTGTTTCCGATTCTGT